TCTTGTTTCCCCTGCAGGGCGTCGGATCCACCTGGTGATGTAAGGATGGATGTACTCACTGGACACTAGGGGGCGCTGTCTTTCTACTCAGGCTCTTGGGATGTGCCTGGAACCCACAGGGGCAACCATGCTCCTTTGGATAGCTGTTAGGTGCACATAGATCCACGCCAGGATTTACTGGATGAAGTTATTGATGAAAATGAGACTTTTTGTCCTAAATACTATTTTTCATTCCTCTGCCATCCTGTCCACTATTACATAACAGTAAAGTGTTGTTTTTGGCTGTGCATGTGGAGAAATGAATTTCTACAGAAAGAGAATCCTCCAAAACCAAATGCTGGTGGTCACTGAGGCCCAGGGTAGATAGCTGGTCCAGGTCTTGGTGATCAGACATTTGCTGTGTAGACAGAATTGTTGTAAACGGAATACTTTTTCAAATGTCAAGAAGAGGCAGAGTCAAGGGAACTCAGGTGAGGTTAGTCCTGTTTTATCTATTTGGTATCCAGACTTTGGCTTCTTCAAAGCTCTTCATTCATACATGCTGGGGGTTGAACCCAGTGGCTGCACCTCTATTCTTTATGGTTCCCAAAGGCTCTTCTATGGTTCTCTGGAATATGGCTGCACGTTTTCTACTTCTGAAAGACAAGTACGCCATGCCTCCTTACTACCCAAACTGTGCAACATGATCCCTTGACAGGGTCACTCAAATTGAGTTGTCTGCTGCTGATCTGGCTCCTGGATGACCCTGGCTGGCTTGTCCCAATACAGGCCTCTCCCCAGGGCACGAGTGGTTCTGAGCTCAGGAGAGCGCCTTCCTGGTCAGTGGAGACCAACTTTCATTGGGCCCGAGTCCCCAGAAACAGGGCAGTGCCACCCACGAAGGGAGACAGAGGTCGGGGAAGCCCACAGTAACCACACTGGCCCTCTTCAGCCATCATGCTGTGTGGTGAGAGGTTCCCCTCGGGGTCAGGACTATGGTAACAAAAGGACAGAACAAGTTCCTCAGTTGAGTTCAGATTTCCCTCCTGGCACTCCCTTGGGGGCCGCCAGTGGCTTCCTCCATGCCATTTCTGCTGCCCATTTATCTTCAGAGAAAAATAAAGGTGGACCTCAGCTCAGCCTGCATGAGCTGCATTGTCAGTGACCAGGCTGGACACCAGCAGTCAGACCTCAGGGCAGGCCACGATGCAGCAGCAGCAGGATGGATGGGGATAGGCAGGGAAGGGTGAAGTCAGACATGGTGCAGGATCCAGCAAGGGCAGGTGCCATGGACCTGCAGAATGAAATGCCTGGTGACAGTGGTGAAGGGCTGTGAGCATCACACACAGTGCCACAGAGGAGATGGCAAGGACCTAAGCAGAAAGGCAGATGTGGAAGAGGGAAGAAGGTGCAGGCTTTGGGAAGTGGAGAAGGACTTGCTAGCACTGGGTGTCTGGGTGGTGTGGGAATTCGGGTAATTTAGGGGGCGCAACACAGATAACAGGGAGCCTCCTTGCCCCAATTCAGGACTACCTGGAACTCTACAGCTGGGAGTGACATTTTCCTTAGATCATCTTTTCCTTTCAATGCACCCCTGAAATCTGATGGCCCTAGGAGAGCACACCGACCAGTTAGATGCAGATGATGTTGGCTCTCTGCTCTAGGGGTTCATCCTTGCCTCCCACTCCCATATTTGAAGATGTCATTTTCTTCAGGTGGTTGGAAACATTAATCATGGTGCTGCAAAGACTGTGGAAAATGTGACTGTCCAGCACAGGACACAATATGGCCCGGCCTTCCAGGGTGTGACCCCAGCAGGAAAATAACCACAGGCCTTCTCAGCTGTCCCAGAAGGCTCAGGCAATCCAGCCTCCCCAGGTCCTGCAACCGACATGAGTCACTTCCCTGAGCCAGGGAAGATGGGAAACCACAAGTCAGAGCTGGCTCCTGGTGGTGAGCAGCTCTGGTTTAAAAAGACAAACAGGAGAGGGGAGGGATATGGTGAGAAAGAGACCTGATGATTGCCTTCTGGTCACATGCACCCTGACACAAATCACATGAGCACTCACTAGGAATCAAAAGGATTCAGCCTCGAGCTAAGGATGTATCCACAACCTTCACGCTTAAGGGAACGGTCCCAGGCAGGGATGGGGCTGGCTGTTTCTGAGAAATCCAGCACAGTAGCACGAGAGCTGTTGTGGAATCTGGCTACCCCCCCGCCCGATAATAAGGGTTAATACCTCTACAGAGTTCATTCCTCCAGAAGGGTTTCTCTGGAACTCTGGGTTGTGTGATGGATTCTCTAGAGCACTTTCCAACCCATGCACAGAGCACTGTTTTCTTTTGTGACCGATAACAACGTGACAGTGCTGCAACGGTTTGATTCATGTCTTTCTTTGCTACCAGCTGGTCAGCTGCATGTGGTCAGGGAGAGCCTCTGCTGCTTCTCTTCCTGGTCTGGGTCTGAGTGTGGCTGATCACAGGCCCTTAACAGATATAACTCAATTAAGCATGACGCATAAGGGAAGGGCCAGGAGGGCCCAGGATGGGCTGAGGGCCAAGCCATCCCAGCAACTAAACTCCACTCCAGCTAGTTAAAAATAAGCCTCCAAGAGTTACTACTCAATGTAGTAGTACAATGAAGTAAAGGACAGTTTACTTCAGCCTCGCAGATAACTCCATGCCTAATGCTGGGGACTAACTATAGTCACTGAGGGATGGAGGAAGGGAGGGAGGAAGAGAAGGCGGGAACAGAGGAGAGGGAGAGAGAGGAGAGAAGGAAGAAGGGAAGGAAGGAGGTATATGGTAACTACACCACTTACATGGAATATGGAATGTAAATAAATTAAACAATGTAAGCTCTGGATAAAAAACCAACCCAAACAATAGTGAATTAAATAGGGCAGCCTATATGAGCACATTTTCTCACAGCGGGGGTTTGGACCAAAACCCAGGAAGTAGGGCTCCTTCCCTCTCAGCAGGTTCTGCGGCCTCGAATCTCTGCCCACATAGCATCTTCTTTACAACAAAGCCCAGAAATACAAGGCAAGCACTTTACCTATTGTCCCACTGAAAATGGAAATAAAAACAAACATGATACTTCCCAGGACTGCAAAAAATATGATGGCAGTGGACATCAGCCTTGGCAGAGTACTGGGTCCAAAAGGATATTCACCTTCCTAAGGAATTTTCAGTCTGTCAACTGTCGATTTTCTCTTTATGCCTTGACTTTTAAATTTATGGTGTCTGATCCACCTCCACTGAGCTTCTCCCTGAACATCAGAAGGTGGTAATTATATGCTCTGGTTTCAGGTGGGCTTTGAGAATGATTCATCCCTGATGTGTAAATGTCTCCACATATAAGATGCAGCCCAGAAACTCAAGGGCTTAGCACCTGGGCTACCAGGACCTGCTGCTCTCTTCTCCCCTTGTCTGCCTCTCTGGTGGGGAGAAGTTACACATGTTTGACAAGAGCTGATTAAATCAACCAAGAATTGAGACTACTTATGACCACAGAGCTTAACTATGAAAACTAAGAATTGAGACCATCTGTGTCAATATCACTTAACCCTTTTCTCGGTTCTGTTTGCCCAGAAAATTAAGGCTGTAAACCAATAAATAACCTCATTGTTTGCAGCAGGAAGTTTCTACAAAATAATCTATCCTGTTTGCTCACCTGGGGAAATAGCTCATTTATCAACAATGAACTTGCCAAGACTCACTTCAAACCACAGCTTGCCATAGCCACCAATCCTATTATATCATTGACTTCCCTGAAACTTAATCGATCGACCTTGAAAAGCGCAGCTTGAAGGACTTTGGCCCAGACCGCCCAGTCCTGCAGCCACCCTCCCACCAGCCGCTCATGAGACTGATGGCAGGATGGTCCCCTCCTTTCTGGGAGGAACTTAGCTTTGGTTTAGCCACAGGCCCTCCGGTAGGTTTTGTACAGTCAACAGTTGACACAATACATCCGCTGTGGTCTCTTGGAAACAGGGAGCACATAAAGAGGAGTAAATACATCCTTGTAACCCACGGTAGCTGGGATACTTATTAAACACAGCTGCTCTCAGTAATAAAGTCATAAAGTTTCCTCACGATTTTCCCTCTGGACACAAGACTTGGAATTTTGAACACCTGCGAATAACAGATTTCAAATGCTCGGTTTGTCTCCATTTTTCTATTTTTTTTTTTAACATGGTTCTGTATTTCCTAAATTTTCTACAAAGAGTTCACTAATTTTTTTTTTGCTCGGTGCTCGGTTTGTCTCCATTTTTCTATTTTTTTTTTAACATGGTTCTGTATTTCCTAAATTTTCTACAAAGAGTAATCACTAATTTGAGAGTGAGTGAAAGGAAACAAAGCCCAAAGCTACTAGAATGGAGAATGGAATTAATCCCCAAGTGTAGTTATAAATGATCATCAAGTCTTAATGAAACACACACACACACACACACACACACACATGTTCTCCATCTCATTTAAATGCTTTCTCATTAAGCTAGCAAGGTTATTTACTCCCATCAACACCAATTTCTACAGAAAAGCTGTACAGTTTTCATCATTATGCATTTGTTTCTCCTGAGGAAGCTTTTGGGGTGTTGGACTGGCTGCACCCCAAATAACATTCGCTCAGTGCTTGCTTTTGTGTTTTTGAGCACTTGTGCGACTCACAGCCCAACAAAAAGGAGAATGCACAGGCCTGCAGCATCAACCCCATGGCAAGCACAGCCCAGCTCTCACCACAAAATCATTCAGCTGCCAGGAGGAGCCAAGTACTTTGTGCATGAAGATGCCAGTGATGGACCTGGGCAGTGGGGCACCTCTCTGTGCCCGTGTGGAATCTCAGTATCACAGCCCCACCTGCCAAGGCACATAGTGACAAGCTAGGGCCACCCCTCGCAGGCTGGGAGAGCAGTTTTCCCCTGCAGCTGCTAGGGTGCTCTAGCTTCCTACAGCTGAGCAGAGGGAAAGAGCTGGCGACAGGCCATCCCCGTGTCCCCGCCCGGGCTTCCCTTTACCTTAAAGAAACTTCCTCGCTTGTCCAGCCTTTGGGTGCCCATGGTCCACGCTGACATCTCCCCTAGCAAGTCTCTACTGCACGCCGGGGACTCCTGAAGGTAGAGACATTTTTAATGGTTAGCCCAGCCTGTAGGAAATTCCTTTCTAAGCCACAGAACACTCACAACAACAGTCCTGCCAAGATCTTTTTCCGTCAACAACACAGTGCCATTTATTTCCCACCAAAGCCCTTCCATCTCCTTTAAGGCCAATTTCCTGCCTCCCCAGCGCTGTTCCTAGACTGTGCCCCACCTCGCTGCCCCTTCCCCTCGGGAGCTGACGCAGGCAGAAGGTCTTGGGGACCCCTCTGCAGGGAGCATAATGATGGCTTTGTGCCTCGGCTTGAACTCACGCTAAAGTCTGAAGGGGCCCAACATGAGATGTCCAATAGTCCCCTTGAAAGCTTATAGATTCAACGTGGCTGACTGCAGGGGGACAGGGGAAGAATGTAGCCCTGTGTGTCCTAGAAAATCTTACTACAAGGGGCTGAGGTCATGGTGAACCCCGCCAGCCCCCTCCCCAGGCCAGGTCAGCAGGAGGGCACTGAAGCAATGCCTCTGCTTTCTCCTTAAAGGCCTGCAGGATTGGGAGGCAGCGGTGTCACTGTCTGCAGATGTCAGCTTGTGTAAGGGGCCAGTGTGCACACAGCCCCACCGTCACTATGGGGGTGGGGTGGGGCTCACTTTGGAATGCAGGGAAAATACAAAGCAGGAGAACAGCACAGTCCTGTGTCACCACCCTGGCGATCTGAGCTTAGAGTTTGCTACGCTCCAGCACTGCAACCAATAATCCTTCCCTCTGGGCCGAAAAGCCTTCAACCTTTGCTTTTAAGTGAAGCACACACACACACCTGGGTGTGGTGAGGAGCTGAGGAGTTATCAACCTTCCTTCCAGGTAAGCGGTACAGGCCCCACAGCAAACCTCATCCTAACACTTCCAGGACTAGCTCACCCCAACCAGTCATCCGCCATACAGGGAATAGGAAGGAAGGAAGATCAGAATGTTGCAAGAAGCTGCAGGTGTTGAGACCAAGGCAGCCCCAGCAGCTTACTGGGGCCATTTCATTTCCAGCTGGGGAACCAAGAGCCAGAAGGACAAGGGGGACAGTGAGGCTAGCGCCAGGACACTTCAGCAAGTGGGAAAGCATAAATTCACTGCAAACTATGCATACATGTGTGAGCACTGTCCCTTCGCACGGAGACGCCACAGGTTGCCTCGGCTCACATCAGAATCTCATCCCAGGGGGGGAAAAATAGAGGGTGCCTTTTCCCCAAAACTTTCACCTATTTAAGGCACTGCTCCATGGCCCTGTCACTTTAAAGGGTGGGAGGGGTCTTCTCTGCCTTTCTTTTCCCTTGAGATCCTGCTGGAACAAAGGCCAATGTTCCAAAATTCTCCTGAGATCTGTCTGTCCTGCTGACTCCAGAGGCTCAGATTCTGGAGCTGAGCTCAGCCCTTTGAACTTCATCCTGATTAGCAGAGTGCAGGCCAGAGCCGCTCATAAAGAACACAGTGCGGTGCTCAGAGCTAGGAGCGGGACTGGAATCTCAGGAACCAGAGATGAACTAAGAGTTTGGACCCAGAAGCACAGAGATCTCTTTAAAACCGCATACCCTGCTTTTAATTTAATCTGAGGTCTTTCATCTTCTTTTTGCTTTCATGCATTCTCAGCAGGGGATTCCATGCAGCCTGGCAGATCAGGAACTGAAAAGTTAGAGCCAAGACTTCATTCCTCATCCAGACCTATGTTTCTTGGTTCTGTTGCAAAGTTTTCCATATAAAAGCCCTCTCAGTGAGCTGAGACAGGCAGGGAATTTTGCCTGCTTTGGACTCCAGAGGTTTACTCGTTTAACTACTCTAGCTGCTGAAAGCTGCATACGCCTTAGCCTAACTTCAACATGTGGTGTGAATTAAAGGGCAGGGGCAGGGGCGGATACGCCAAAGATGCAGACAGGAGCGCGTGGCCAAGTGCCACAGCAGGTGCCTCCCACAGAAGGGAAGCCAGGGGACCGTCCCACAGTCCACACAGATGGTACACGCAGACAGCATTACTATTTCTTAAAATAGGGGAGGGGAAGGGGAAGTAGAAAGGATGAGGATTCGAAATACCCAAGTACTAAGTTCCCATGTATTCATTATGGGTTGCAAACACATACTAATAAAAAAATAAATAATTGAAAGCCAAACATAAGCAAATAAGGGCCTTAAGAACCCAGAAGATTATGGATCTAGGCTCACTGCAATAATTTCCTTCCCAAACCAAAACCTCAAACACCATGGATCACAGCATTTTAGTTTACATGACCACTTTTCCTTCCACCCTCGGTCCTCACCTCTCCCTGCAGATGTCACCCAGTGGTTGCCTCCTGAAACTACCCAGGTAACGGCTGGACTGAAAACAAAAATGTACTGAGGTTTGAGAGCCTGTAAAATCCCTCCAGACTCAGCAGCGAAAACTCTTCCTCATTTCCCTGAAGGGTAACGCATCGGATTTTTGAAAACCGAGCCTGTCGGGTCATGGATCTTTCCAGATGCCTGAAATACCTCTGTCTACGCCTCAGAAGGATCATCAAAGGAGCTGCACTGGATGAAAGGGCAGACGGGAAGGGAACACTCCTTGCTTTCCCAGAAGCGCCCGGGGTGGGTCCCATGAGAGCAAGCCAAGCCAAGACGGGCTTTCCAGGTTGCTCCCAGGGCAACTACTGGTACAGTGAGGTCGGTGCCTGGCCAGCTCCAGGCCAGTGGGCTGGAGGCTCAAGGCTGTCAGTCCACCCTTGATTACTCAAGGCAATCAAGAGCAGGTGCCAAGGCCACTGCTGTGGCTGGGGCACTGGCTTTGGCCTGACACTGTGGATCCAAACCTAGAGTCCCCAATTTCCTGTTTACTGGGTTGGGCAAGGTTCCTCCACCTCCACTCCCGCCTAGGTCATAGCTGGGCAGACTGAAGGGTCTGTGAGCTGGGCCTCACTCCATGACAGGAACCTGTTCTGTGTGGACATCACAGGGTGGCGTATTGAGACAAACTAACAAGGCCAAGATGTCCCTGTCACTAGGCGAAGTAATATTATGGGACCGCTGACCTATACATGCATGGCTTGTTGCTGACAGAAACATGTCACACAGCTTGTGACTGAATTAAGTATGACCCTTTCCTTCTCCTCCTCCTTTTTCCCCCTGCCAGTATTGGGGAGTGAGCCCAGAGCGCAGAGCTGCATCCTCAGCCCTCTTTATTTCTTTTATTTTGAAAAAGGGACTCTTTGAATTGCCCAGGCTGGGCTAGAACTTGCAATCCTTTGCCTCAACCTCCCAGAGTACTGGGATTACAGGTATGTGCCACCATGCTGGGATCATGCCTCTCCTCTTAATTTATGTAACTGAACCGCATCCTTCTTAGTTGGGAGGGTATTTTTTAATTATTAGGTAACAATAGTACATATGTACCCTGTGCAACATGATGGTTTGAAATACATCTGCACTGAAGCACAGTGAGGTCAGGCTGGAGAACACAGCCATCCTCTCACATACTTAGCATGTAAGGGTGGTGAGAACCCTTAAAATCAGCCCGCAGCATTCTTCAGATACACAACCAGTTGTTATTAACCTCAGTCACCACGTTGCACAACAGATCTCTTGGATTCCTTCCTCCTGAGACTTGGTATCCTTTAACCAGCACTACCCTGGCTCTGCCTTCCCATGTTATTTGCTTTAGGTCCCAAGGGCGGACCCATGCAGAACCCTGGAACCTGCTGCTTGGCTACACCCAGGACACCGAGCTGTGTGTGTGGGGTCGGGGGGAGGCACCCTTCCAAGGGAGAGGTGGCCAGGAAAGCTTTCTAATTGCTGTTTCATTTTGTCTTCCTAGCAGTTGAATGAGGAGAGGTGATGTGGACTGGAGGATTAGTAAACAAGATCTCATTATCTTGATTACTTTACAGCCAGCTGGGCAGAAGCAGGAACCAGGGACTCAGCTGGTACTTGTCAAGCCAAATTCACAACTGAGACCTGATCAGCTTTCTTTTGAATGCTCTGGTCTTTCCTAAGAGAGGGAAAAGAGGTCAGGGGAGGCCCTGTGCTGGAGCCAGGGATAGTCTGAATATTTCCATAATTTTCTTTGCTTTACCATGGCTTTTACAAGTTCAACAGAAAAGTGTTATTCTAGGCTCTGGCTTGATAATTGTAGTTATGTGAATCTAAAAGGAACATTTTTTTTTTTAAGCGTCTTGTATCTCTGTCCAGCCATGGCTTTTCCCTTATTCAACAGTCAAAAAATTTCAAAACAGTTGTGAGATCATGAAACTTCTCATTGAAAAGAGAAGCCAACTTATGGAAAAGCAAGAAATCAAAGCTAAAGAAAGATACTCCAGTCCCCTTACTCCATAACCATGTTTTTAAACAGAATTAGGAACCGTGCTCAGTGCCTCAATTTTTCTAAGAATAATCAAGGAAATAAAAAAACCTTTTTCCTTCCTTCTCCCTCCCTCCTTCCTTTCTGTAAGGTGCAGAGGGAGTAAGTCACTTACTTCTGCTACTTTATAGGGTTGCTGCATAAATAGAGTGAGCATCTATCTTTACCTTCCTTGGAAAATGGGCTCATAGAAATAGGAGCTCTCACTTTGTCCACACTATAGAAGCTCTGCCAGTGTCCACGTATCCGGTGCCCAGGTAGGTGCAGCAGACAGCAGCTCTGCTGGCTGGAAAGTCTCTTTCTCTGGGTAGGAAGCAGATTCTCTCACCTCCCATCTTACCTGTTCCACTAGGGCCACTTGAGAATCACCCTCCTGTGAACCCGTGGTATGAATCTGTTCTATAACACAACAACTGGGGCTGTACCACTTCCTAAAGCAAAGAGGCTCCTAAAGCTAAAGCTTTCCAAGGCCCATCAGGAGGGAGCCTGTAGTGTGTTCTGGTTTCTCCTTATAGGGCCATGGGGGCCATCATTCAGCCCTCACCCTGATTACTTGATCTAGCCTTGATGGTGTCCCATGGCCCCACTGACACCCTCACAGTGCCCCATGATGGGGATTAAAGTGTGACATGGGGTCCGCAAAGGACA